CTTCCTTGGTCTGCTACTTTGGGGGTCGACGTTGTATAAACCTGATAAGAACACTCTCTTTTTCTATTATCATTACTATTTTACAAATGTTTTGATAATCAAATTGTGTTTAGTTCAAACCATTTTTAAATGTTGAAGTGAACTACTCATTTTAATCAACTGTGAAACAGTATTAGTGATTTTTATCCTCATTCAAAGTAGAAATCAGGTTAATGATGCATTGTCTGATTTTCTGTCTTCAATGAGCAAATTGTAAGTTGGTCAAAGGTCAAGTTTCGGTCAACTGCAAGTTTACTGAAAAAGAAATGTCATGTTTAACTTTTACAGCAAGATACTAGAGAATTGACTCCACGAAGTCTGAGTTCTTCATAATAATCTTCTGTCTGTTCTTAAACAATCTAATCTTTTTCCCTTGACTTTTAATAACCTCTTACATCACAAAAACACACCTCTGTCTGGTCATCGACCAATCAGAAAGTTCTCAAATGAACCGGAAGTGACCTTTTTTAAAAGGTGCAACACTTCCTAGTTCACAGCAGTTCCAGAGTTCAGAATGCTGGAATTCAGGATGCTGGAGGAAGTTCTGAGGAGTTCTGAAAAGTTCTGAGTAGTTCTGGGAAGAACGCTCAGGAGAACGCTGAGAGAATGCTGTGAGTTGGTTCCGAGAGCAGCAGAGTCCAGAATGCTCAGGACATCTGCGACTAAGCTGAACAAGAGAAGTTCAGAGGAATTATGAAGAAGTCTGTTCTAGGATGATCTCACGACTCCTGAGGTTTAGCTGTTCTTACGGAGACGCTGGAAGAGTTGAAAGGAAAGCTCTACACCAACGCTGAAACTATCATCTGCAAAGGTAAAGAGTCGATCTCAACCAAAGTGTACCGTTGGGAAGCTGGGCCCAGAAGGAGCGTGTTGTTCTGGTTATAACAGACAAATTCCCTCACCCATCTCTCTCAACTTAAACTTCAATTTCCATCTTTAAACTCTTCTTTCTGCTAGAAATCATTCCAGATATTTTCAGAAATGTCTGTTGTGAAGCAAGGCTTTAAACCATCGCCGTATGGTCTTCTAATTGTAAACTAGCTAATTAAGCCATGTTGTTGTTGAAATCATTTTGCCAAATTAATGTAAATGTGTGATGTGTTTAAATCGTTTTTAAATAAATGACCCACTGTTGTTGGTGAGTCAAAGATAAACACGTTTCCGTCCACATTTAATAATTCAACACATGATATTATTCAGTCCAGAAAAATGAAAGAATCCGTTTAATTTATGAATATATCACAGAATATGTTCATCTACATCATCAATCACCTGAGGTGGCCAATCAGACCACTCCTCTGGTTTCTCTCGTTCAGGTCAGAGGTCATAGAAGAAGGGTACACACGCTATCATGGTACACACTTCATCCATCCATCCATTTTCTTTACCCGTTTATTCCATTTTGGGTCACGGGGGTCGCTGGTGCCCATGTCCAGCAATCACTGTGCGAGGGGCGGGGTACACCCTAGACGGGTCGCAAGTCCATCACAGGGCCACATAGAGACAAACGACACAAACAACCATTCACTCTCTCACTCACACCTAGGGACAATTTAGAGTTACCAATCAGCCTAACATGCATGTTTTTGGACTGTGGGAGGAAACCGGAGTACCCGGAGAAAACCCACGCATGCACGGAGAGAACATGCAAACTCCACCCAGAAGGCCCCTGGACCGGGGTTTGAACCAGGGACCTGTTCGCTGAGAGGCAGCAGCTCTACCAGTTGCGCCACCGTGCTGCCCATGGTACACACTTTTCAGTATTATTCCTTACTAAGGTGAACGCTTAAAAGTAGTATAATAAAACAAAGAAATGTGCTCATTGACCTTTAAGACAAATGAGTCTGTGTTTTACTGAACAGTTTTGCATTTTTATGCAAGAATGATTTTGAAACTTAAAAAACGCAGAAAGAGGAAGATAAACAAAAGGAAGTCACACAGAAGGAACTTCAGAAACAAAATTTACACATGTTGCACCTGTTAAGTTGCTGCTCTGTATTTTCATCCTTTTTGTTTCTTGACAATCTCGTCAATAAACATTGGATAATCAAGTGTCCAGTGATTATTCACATGTAAACAGAGCTTAAAACTTGCAGCATTAGCCGTAATACCCAACCTATTGCCCTCTAGTTTACACATTCGTGTATGTCACCAAATCATCTCTTTTGGCTAACAGAGACTCTAATATCCTGATGCATGCTCAATAATCCAGGTGGAAATATCCAAAAAAGTTCAATCTGGTCCTCTGGACATTCAAAAAAACAAAACAAAGCAAAAAAAATGTAGATACGTTTAGTCTCTCATTCGAAAGACTTCCTCAGTCTGAGGTGCTGTATTCAGCTCAGTCTCTTAAATAGCACCTTCTCAGAGTGGATCAACCAGTTTTGCTGCTGACAACCAAAACCAGCTGCTCACATGCTCAAGAAGGACCATCAGCCTAACAATGGATCATTAGACTCTAATGACTCTCCATGGTGAAGGGAGTTACTTTAATCTACATTTCAGGGCTCTAGATTTGTCTCTGGTCGTCCTTGGCACCCTCTGAGTGTGCACGGATCTCTCCAGAGAGAACTATTTGAACTGAGTGATTTTATCTGAACTCTGCAGTGCCTCTGTGTGTTGTCTCTGACTGTTCACCGCCCTTGCGTTCACCCCCCCACCCCTGCACGTAATGTCGGCGTCATTATTTGCTAGTGTGAGGGAATACTGAACATGAACTTTTGAGTTTTGAAACACTTTGACATGACTGTCTCAGAGGAGTTGACATGGGAGAGGGCGGGCCCCGGAGAAGAGGGCGGGTCCCGGACGAGAGGGCGGGTCCCAGAGGAGAGGGTGGTTCCCAGAAGAGAGGACGGGCCCCAGAGGAGAGGGCGGGTCCCAGAGGAGAGGGCGGGTCCTGGATGAGAGGGCGGGTCCCAGAGGAGAGGACGGTTCCCAGAGGAGAGGGCGGGCCCCTGAGGAGAGGGCGGGTCCCAGAGGAGAGAGCGGTTCCCAGAGGAGAGGGCAGGCCACGGAAGAGAGGGCGGGCGAACTTCAAACAGAGATTAAAAGCATGTTTGGATTTTTTTTTTGTCTCCAAACCCTATGTGTCATTTTTCACCACTTTTTTATTGTCTGTCCAAACAGGTCTCCTTTGTAAATGAGTCTTTGAGGCTCAATGTGACTTATCTGTTTAAATAAAGGTTGAATGAATGAATGAATGTGAATCCAGCCTACTTATAAAATTGTTTATAGCCAACAAATGTCACACAACTCTAAATTGCTTTGATCTTAAAATGATACTCCAAGTACTCTTTTTGTCAGAAAACATGAATGTAAAGCTGAACAATGTAAACTTGTAGCAAAGGCAACAAAAATAATGGATCCAAACCTTTTTGATTAGATTTGGGGTTTATTACAGGATTTAAAAATACCTAAAAACTGTAAAGGAATTATATACACCAGTGTTAAGAACCCATCTGAAACTCAGATGAGTAATGACATGGTTTTGCCAACCTTATAGAATATATATAGAACACAACAAAACGTGTTATTTTTAGAAAACCACTTCTATCAACACAGGCAAAAACCTATCAACGTAATAAAATAATGTGTTTCCTCCAGGTGTTTTGACCAAACTACAGTATGTTCATCAGTAGGTCGGGCTTTCATCTTCTCTTCACTAAGAAAATTCCACTTCTGTCAGATTGAGAACGGATGATTGTTTGACTGCAGAACATTTCCTTTACTTTTAAACCACTGAGTTTGCTTTCAAAGAACGACTTGCAAGACTAAATGTGCACATCCTCCAATCACTTGAACAAATGTGAACAAGTAACGTATGACACAATGCAGTTGGATGCTGTTTTCTTCTTTCTTTGATTCTGTCTTGTGTTAAATAAACAGCAAACACTGGTGACATGGTTGAAGTCTGACAAATGAGCTCCTAATTACTGTATTTACAAAATAATAGTTAATTTGATTGCTTTTATTTTATAAGTTCAGTGAAATGAAACTATATTGTGCAGCAAAATCTCTTAGATTCAGCTAAAATAATTCTGTTCTAACTGTCGCACTACCATGTGGTGTCAGTAAGACGCAGTTTATTCAAGTTTACCACTCTTGCGTAGTATTTTTCCCATCGTTGTTTGAACTAAAACAGCTGAAGTGAATTACTTGAACTTGCCTGGAAAACCTATTCCTGCTGTTGGGCTGTCGTGATTTGTAGAAGTGGTCATATTTTTTTCATCCTATTTCACACATAATTTGCTGCCTTAGGAAGTTTTTTGCAAACATCCATCCATCCATTATCTTTACCTGCTTCTTCCTTTCAGGGTTGCGGGGGTCACTATAGTGCTCATGTCCAGCCATCACGTGCGAGAGGCGGGGGACACCCTTGACAGGTCCAAGTCCATCACAGGGACACATAGAGACAAACAACCACTCACTCACTCACACCTATAGACAAATTTATGTTACCGACCTAACATGCATGTTTTTGGTCTGTGGGAGGAAACCGGAGTACCCAGAGAAAACCCACGCATGCACGGAGAGAACATGCAAACTCCACCCAGAAAGGCCCCTGGACCGGGATTTGAACCAGGAACCTGCTCGCTGAGAGGCAGCAGCTCTACCAACTGCGCCTCCGTACTGCTTTTTGTAAACAACTAACTCTATTAGTGTGTAATTATTATTAGTTCAGTGTTTTTTTATTTTTTTGCCTCACAAAAAAATTAAAGAAAGCAGTTAGCCATACCATTTTACTACATGAACAGTCATTTAACTGTTGAACAATTAAAACAAAGTGTAAACATAAATTGAAATATTTGCCGTTGTCGCTTTTCTCCTCATTCATTTTAATATTTCTCACGGAAAACTTTTATAAGCTCAAATTTTAAGTAATAGAAAACAAGCAAATTGCATTCAGTTCATATGCCGATAAATAGATGTGTAGAATTATTTAACGGCTCTGAATTATATAGCTATAAATAATATATATATATATATATATATATATATATATATATATATATATATATATATATATATATATATATATAAAAACATGGTACAGAATTTTGATACAAAAATAGAATAAACAATTTTTCAGGTTTACACTGAAAAGATTAGCATCTAAGCTGAAATGAAAATGTTAAACTGCTCAGCAAAGTAAAAAAAAAGAGGATAAAAGATGCAAAACTCATGTCCACATAAGTAGAATGAATTATGCAGGAGATGCAACATTCAAATGTTTTCCTTCGGACGAGCTGCTGTGCTGTTTATAACATCCAGAGCTGTGTCTTCACTCTGTTGAAAGAGAAGTAAAAGCAACATTTAGAAAAGAGATAATAAAGACTGACGAGAGTTCCTCAGACTAACAATAATCAATTTAAAATTCATATTTGATGCATAAACAAAACTGCTTGTGAAGTGAATGATTTAATAAAGTTTTTATGTTCCTAATTTTGACTGCAGTTGTTCAAAATGTATGTTTCTGTCTGAATTCAGTAGTTTTATTTTTTTTAATTAATGTATTTTTTGAAACTTTTCATGCCCTTTTCACAGACAGGTGCATTGAGCAGCGTTTATTGTAACACCTTTGTGGCCGTTTGCCTCTATTAAAAGACAGCAGGAAACACGTCTGACTTCCAGCTAGTAAAAAATAAAAGTGTTGCTGGATTACAACAAATTTACCATTTTCATCCTTTGCTTCTTTGCTGGAACCACACAGCTGTAGATGATACGGTCATCTGTGTCACTCAGACCCTGTGGTTAAAAATAAATATGGTGTGAACACAGCAAAATGACAGTACAGACTCGTCTATTGTACATGACTCAGTTTGTATAGATTTACCTGAGCTGCCTTTGTTTTCTTAAAGTGAACATCAGAGTATGTTACCTCCTCCTCAGCCTGTAAAACAATAATAGTACAATAGTACGTTATCATATAAGTTATTTTTGTTTCTTCATTGTGTTAAGGTTTCAACACAAAGATGAGCCTGAGATAAGAGTCAAGATAATAGCTAACTGTAGTAAACACAGAAGGATTTAAACTCAATCAAGTTTACAGACAATGAGTTAAAATGTAATGTTATAGGTAGGGAGACTTATCTCCAACACACTGAGTGCTTCACATTGTGCACATGACATTAAATAAGTCTGGTTAGCAAAATATCTAATAAAACACTGGACAGATTTCAACAAAACTCTCAGAAAACAATCATTTGGTGTACATCTACAATTGATTCGCTTTTGGATTCAGTTCAAGGTGGCAGGTACAGCCAATTGACATTAGGAAACAAAAAAAAAAGGATCTAAATCTGTCAGCTTTACTGATCTTGAGCTTCAACTTATTGTGGTAGTAGCTGAGAGTAATCCAAACACATACTATTAGCGCTAACAGATTGGGTTGAGCTCTCAGAACAGTGCATGAAATTGTGCATCGAATTCAATAAAGCTAAGTCAGTTCCTCTGGATGGTTATTTTGTTGAAACGTTTCGTCTTTCATCCAAAAGACTTCATCAGTCCGAGGAGCCACAACAAACCCAGTCCAATGAACAGCACCTTCACATAGTGGGTCAACCAGTTTGATGGTGCTAAGATGGTTTCTGGGGTCCGCCCTCTCCCCCACCAACTCCTCTGAGGCAGCCATAGCCCAAGTGGTTCAAAACATCAAAGTTCATGCTCAGTAATCCAGTTAAAATATCCAACAAAGTTAAGTCAGGCCAGGACGGTTTCTTTTTGATGAAACATTTCATATTTCATCCATCTGAGCACCATCAAACTGGTTGACCCACTATGTGAAGGTGCTGTTCATAGGACTGAGTTTGTTGTGGCTCCCCGGACTGATGAAGTCATTTGGTTGAAAGACAAAACGTTTCAACATAAAGAAACCGTCCAGAGGACCTGACATAACTTTTTTACCAGGATTATTGAGCAGGAACTTTTGATGTGCATCGAACTATTTTCAAGGTTTTACCAGAACAGCTCAATCCTCAACTCTAAGGTAATCTTTGTTTTATTTAATGAGTTTAGCATCACTCACCGGTTTAGTTGTTGTTGAATCTGTCTTTACACCCTCTGGTAAAAGAAAAAAAAAAAAGGCTTTTGCTTATTTATCTGTATAAATGAAGGTTGAATGAACAATTAATCAATGTCACATTGTATCATTGTTTAACAGTTTATATTTAACCCTCCTGCTGTCTTGGGACAAAATGACCCTTGAGACTAAAGCTTCAGGACTCGTTTTGACCCAAGTTCAGCAGGAGGGTTAAACTAAAATATCTGAAATATACATGGTTACAAAGTGATTGAACAGTGACGTTTAGGAGGGCTTACCGTGTCTTAATTTAAACCAGATGAGCAAGACAACAATAACAGTGATGATTAACAGACTCAGAGGAATGATGAGGCTGAGGTTGGCAGAGAATCTGCAACACATTGAACACACATTGTAAGTTAAGCATAATAAATAGTTTAATACATTTATTAAAACATGCACTTTAAAATAAGCACACTGTGCAGCATTTGGAGGATTTCTGACCTGTTTTGTTCATTTTTAACAAGTATTGTAGTTTTTCCCTGGCTTGTAAAGGCCCCAACTTCTGTAACAACAGTGGATGCAACTGAAAATAATGTTATTAATATTAACAACAAAAAAGGTTGAATCATGTCATCTGGACTTCGTTTTTTT